GGCTCTCCTCAGCTTTCTCTTCAGTCCAATGTATGATTATAAACTACATCCGCGTCCTGGGTAAGACGGTAAACTACGTCCGACAACGAGGCGTCTTATCAGGAGGTTTTGAGGGGCGTAGAACCACCACTTAATTGCTAATGTTCCCAGGTCCACCCTGCCCCGCGGTGGTAGCACCTGTTACGGCCTCAGATATGGGTAAATAGTTAAACCCAAAACTGGGGTCAAAACACTATGAAAGTGAAAAAATAGGTCTTAATACTGGCAATACGATTTTGTAAAAAATATTACCAGCAATACATTTTTGAAAGAAAAAAATATTACCAGCAATAAAAATCTTGTCGGCATTAAATAACCCATTGAGGTTGATATGCCGTAAAACAAAATAAACCTAACCAATCTAAACCAAAGAATACATATTCTATTCATACGAATCCATCCTAAAAATGTTGTCGGCATTAAATCATCCATTCAGGTTGATATGCCGTAAAACAAAATAAGCCAAACCAATCTAAACCAAAGAATACCTATTCTATTCATACGAATCTATCCTAAAAATGTTGTCGACATTAAATAACCCATTGAAGTTGATATGCCGTCAAACAAAATAAACCAAACCAATCTAAACCAAAGAATACCTATTCTATTCATACAAATCTATCCTAAAAATGGTGTCGGCATTAAATAACCCATTGAGGTGTTGATATGCCGTAAAACAAAACCAAACTAAACAGCTTTCTCTATTTTATTGCTGCTATACAACTCACTTCCTCATTTTGTTCCTTCTGTGACTTAAAGAAGTTAAGCACTGTTGAGCCTCGTCATTACCTAGATGGATGGCCAATTGGTAATACCGGATGCTGTAAGCTTAGTGTGCGGGCGAAATAAGGGATAATGGCTCAGAAATATTAATGGGAGAGCCGAGTTCTAATTGTTAGTTTTTTATCTTCACTTACGGACAAATACCTCTGGGAAAGGCATAAATCTACTAATAGATAATAAAATATAGAAGGTTACTGTAAGAAAGATGACAAGGGATGTGTTTTGGTATGAGCAAATGAGGACGTGCTAGGAAGTAGAAAGTGAGGATTGTGATCATTCAGAGAATAGATAGCAATTGATACTAGATTTTAAGATGTTAAGATTATACGACTCTGGCAGATGTTCGGACGAGTTACCTCCCTTAATTCTACTTGCTCAGCCAATCAAAGCTAGGACACGCCATGCCATGTTCACGGGGGCAAATCATTCCCCTTCATTTCGTGTCCCTTTGATAAGGATCATGTTACACGCTGACAGGTTTCTCACCCCGCATAGAACTGTTACTTTGTGGAATAGACCCCGGAGATGATGCGACCTTGAAAACAACAATCTAAAATCTAGAGAAGTAATTTTGACCATGCACCTTCCGTCCCACAAGTGAGGTTGACAAATCTTTAAAACGAGCCTGGAGGTGTCGATCCAAATCTGATTTTAACAAGCTGATAGAGAAACAGTGTAGTCATTAGTTAGGATTTATATTGGGTTACTGCATAATTATCAAGCGTTTTTATAGGTGAGTTTTTCGTTAATAAAAAATGCTGTTTTATTTACCTTTTTCTTAATAGTAATATTATTTTATTCTCAGGTTATAAAAATGCGTATCGATAATCATACGCTCCGGAATTATCATTTAAAAATGTTATTGTTGAATTGTTATCTTTCTTTTTTCATTATAAATATTGTTTAAAATCGCCTGATAATTGCGCACCAACCCAATATTGTGTACTATATTTTGCTTTTATAAATAAAATGTATTTCGGTTATATGGAATTTTTTTTTATGATTATGCGAGTTTGAAACTTGTTACACCAAAATGGACACTGGTCGACAGTCTTTTAAAGTTCAGGATTAAATAATATCTATCCTGCAGGTCCTCACGATATGCCTTTTTTTTAATTGTTACTTCCACATCCCTTACAAAAATCTCTCTGTATACTTCTATATTGAGTGGCTCTTGGGCATTTTCCGGCTATTCTTACCTTGGCAAATCATTCACATTCCTTTCGTTTGCCTTTGGGAAGGATGAATTTCCTGGCAAACAACCCTTGAGTGAAACGTGGGCCGTTTCCCGCATAAACTATCAGTAGATCTAAAATGAATCAGGAAGCGACGGAGTATACGATCTTGTCTCACATTATGAGGAAAGAATGCTTGGAGTATTAAACACTCAAAGTGCATATTGAAGGTAATAGAGGAAGCATGTAAATGCCGAACAACCTACCTGACGAATTTTAGGATGGTAGAACAAGTTTTATGTTTGGTTTTTTGATTGATTGATTCGTTTCCTAAGGCTTATCGACCTCTCCGGGTTTTATTTAAAGCCAGAAAATATTTTTAGATTGCAAGAACATTTTCTTTGCGGGGAGGGGGATAATGGTTTAGTAATTATTCTTACTAATTAAAAGAGGTGAAGATTCATACCTTTCCCAAGGTTATTTGACGCGTTAGTGAATATAATGAACCCAACGGGAATTAGAACTTCGTTCTCCAATTAACAATTCCGAGCCATTATCCTGCGCTATCACCCACACATCCAAGTTTACAATACTTGGTCTTCCCAATATTTAAAGAAGAATGACCTTTGACAAGATCTTCAGGATTTACACGCTCAAAGCCATTTTTTCACAGTTGATCTTAGATAGTTTCTATATTTTTGAACGGGTTAGGTGCAGTGAACGATAACTATATGGAAGTCTTGTCCTGACAGGGATATTTAAGATCACGACACGAGTTTTCAGATTGATGTTTTGGTTTCGTAACGAGTGGGAAATATACAAGTAAAAGCAAGCATAGCAATACAATAGGTAAGGACGTTGTAGAGAGCTATGCTTGATCATCTCCTGAAACTGGAAAGCATTCACAGGGCAACCTAATTTTGGGAATCTGTAAATGATTTCTCAATGGTGTTAGCAGATATTGAGATAATAATAAGAAAAGACGAAAAAGAAAGAATGGAAAACGGTAAGAAGCGAAATGAATAAGCCAACGTTTTTGGTTACTCGACTGGTTAAACTTGAACTGATTCTTTTCCTGGCTTTTCAAAGCTACCAAAATAGACGGACAAATGAAGAGGTCAGTTTTCTCATTTTTATTCCATCTCGTAGAAGGATATTGCCTATTATCGGAAAAGTTACGTTTAGCTTGAGTGTTCACCAACGAGTGGTTAGTGATAGAAAACCTGAACTAATGAGCTAAGAAATGTCCCAAACAACAAATATAAAGCAAGTAATTTTGAGTGTCTAATAATGTTATCGTCCTCACATGAAACAATAATTAGGCTATCGTATAAGGTTGATACATACACGCCTTTTGTTATTGATTCAGATTTTCGATATAAAGATGAAAGATAGACGACTAAAATAACATTATATGTGTGTGTGTGTGAGAGAGTTTGTGTGTGTGTGTGTGTGTGTGTGTGTACCGAGTGGAACAGCAAAATTGACCAAAATGTGTAACAGCAAAATTGTCAATGTATTAGATTATGCTTTGAAACGTTGTATCTTAGAAATGATTAAAGATATCTCACTGGAAATCTCCAGGGTTTTCATATGACTACTGGACTCTACTTTGATCAATAAGAATGTATAATAACTCTACAAACTTACCAGAAAAATCGTGATGAAATTGATCATGAACGAAAATGAAATGTTCATCATATATATATATATATATATATATATATATAAAATGAACAGTGAAGTCAACACTTCGACAGGCTGTTTCTTGCTAGACGCAATCGTCAGGCCACGACGATTGGCCGACGATTACGTCTAGCATGAAACAGCCTGTCCACATTTATATATACACAACCTGTCTGATATTGAGCACTTTATCCCATAAATATAGCACACCTCAAGACTATATTTCTTCATATATATATATATATATATATATATATATATATATATATATATATATATATATATATAGAGAGAGAGAGAGAGAGAGAGAGAGACATAGATATATTTATCTTAGGCTTTTTCATATCTACCTATTTCACGCTTTGTTCATATATATATATATATATATATATATATACATGTAAGTGAACATTGAAGACAACACTCAGAGGCGATAGGCTGTTTCATGCTGCACTCTGACACTGAGCAGTTTATCCCATAAATATAGAATACTTTAAAATACTTTAAAACTATATTTCTGCATATATATATATATATATTCCAACTTATATATATATATATATATATATATATATATATATATATATATATATATATATATATTCAACTCCATATATATATATATATATATATATATATATTTGTGTGATTGTGTGTGTATTCGCACACTGAGTACTGAAACTCAGACTTGTCCTGGGTAGTTTATATATAGGGTTGTCCCCACAAAACTGACATCATTTTAAATGTGAATATCTGAGGTGTCCGAGGCAAACGAAATTAAAGGGACTTCATGTTGAATAATAAAACATAAATCAAAGAGATATACAAACGGATGTACATTTTATAACTGATTTAACAAAGATTCACAAATGTTTATTATGCGCTCCATTTGTGACACATAGAATGAAATAGGTAGATATGAAAAAGCCTAAGATAAGTATATATATGTATCTCTCTCTCTCTCTCCCTCTCTCTCTCTCTCTCTCTCTCTATATATATATATATATAGTCTCAAGGTGTGCTATATTTATGGGAAAAAGTGCTCAATATCAGAGATAGAGTGTGTGTTAATATAAAAGTGAACATTGAATTCAACACTTAGAGGCGACAGTCTGTTTCATGCTAGATGCAATCGTCAGGCCTGACGATCACGTCTAGCATGAAACAGACTATCTCTAAATGTTTAATTCAATGTTCTCTTATATATATATATATATATATATATATATATATATAGAGAGAGAGAGAGAGAGAGAGAGAGAGAGAGAGAGACAGACAGACAGACAGACAGACAGAGAGACGAAAATATACCATATTTCAGAGTGAAGGAGAAATTCTGTTGCTTTTATCATTGGCAAGAGCATCATTTGTTACACCTCGACCCTGAGTGGCTTTTGGGTCTGGTATTGAATGAAAAGTAGTAAATAAAAAAATAATAATAAGATAGATAGATAGATAGATAGATAGATAGATAGATAGATAGATAGATAGATAGATAGAGCTAGTCGAATCCCACGTTGCTAGGATACTTCGAGAAATAGATATTAGAAGCTTCACGGTCGAGTTTCTTTTTAATTAGGCCTTTATTAGAATTTTCTCCCTTTATTGAATTCGATTATGTCTGGTAATCTAGGTATGTTGCTTTTGTATCATCAGAATTGGTAATACAAAAAAGGTTATATATGAACAGTTCAGGTAGGGCCGATTTAAATAGCCTGATGTAGTCATCATTAAAGTTTTGCAAAATGAAGGTAGCAGTTGCTGCATAAATGTAAACTTGTCGTGCCAAATAAGGAAGATACGATTAGCTTGGAAATTTAATATTGAAACAACCTCTCGTCTGAGTTCAAATATAGATGTCGGAACTTAATAGGAAATAAGACGATCTCAAAAAGCAGTCCGTTCTTTCTAGATATAGGGAGACTGAAATTATAAAGACATTGAATTCAGATATGATTACACTTAGCTTGCTAGTTAGCTAGATAAGAAAAAAAAATGATTAGGCGAACAAGGAAAGATACATAATTAGTTGTCTAGAGGTAGATCGATTTATTTGAACCTTTAACGATCATATCATGATAGATAAGATTTTATGGCATGACGGATCTGATCAGAAAAAAAAGCTGTAATATCTGTTCAATCCTCACTTTTCAACCATGACCCTTTGAAACTGTGGATCAAGCCAGACTATTCTCTCTTTGTTCCAGAAACTTTAAGTTTTGCTGAATATATGTAAATTCTATGTATAATGATATGTCCCGGAAATGGATATATTTGTTCGAAGTAGCAAAGTGGGTTGTCCTACTGTAACCGAGTAGGACAATCTAGCAGGTAACCGTAATGGACTGGTCCTCGTCGTAGTGGTAGGCAATAGGCGTAGCCAATAGGCGTCGTTCTGTACCTCCCCATCAGTCTGTATTTATGGCTGACACCAGCCAATCATATTACTGTGAGGGGAAGCCAGGTGTATGCATATTCATTACATCATATATAGATTACGTAAATGTGTTCGATAACGTAGAACAGAAAGATCTATTGGAATTGCTGATATATTTGGGAAGATATTAGAACAATCCAGAACCTATAATGGCAGAAAACTGTCTGAATACGGATGGAAAATGATTTCTGCAAATATAGAAAAATAGAACGAAGGAGTAAGACAAGGACACAAGGACTTATTCAACCTTTAGAGCGAGGCGATTCTGGGAGAACTAGAAGTCCTACCAGGATTCATTATTGACGGCTACAATCTTAACAACATAAGATATACAGATGACACTGTGTTGATAGACGACACAGAAAGGAAAGTACAAAAAACATAATTTTTTATGTAGAGTTGCGAATATTAATTTTACAGTACGCATAAAGGAAGTATACTTGGTTAAAAAAAGTAAATTAAAAAAAAAAAACTTAAAAAATACAAAAAGAGAAATGTCAAAATTTACATAAACATTAATCTTGATCAACGTATTTCAAAAGATATTTATTTTTATGCTTACATATAACCATCAATTAAGTTCTCTTGTTTAATAAGCTAAGGTTATTTAAGTGTTTTAAGATAACTAATTTTTCTACAAGGCATAAATTACAACTATAACCTTCCCATTACAAGATTTGGCTTTTGCTACAATATCCCACGTAATAATGGAGTATTACCAGAAATGTTTCGAGAGAGCAGTGTTCTTTATGGATCTGACATTGCCTAAAGTTATTCGATGGTGTTAAAAACGAAATTTCCAAGGGTTTTCAGAGGAACGAAAATAAAATATTATCAGACATACATTGGCCGTTTAAAAGACAGATCGTACTTTTTCGGTAGTTGCATTTCTTTTGAAAAAATAACTTTGTTGTATTTGCTGGACATATATTTCTTTAATATAATATTGTTATCTTGGGATATTGATTTATCGATTTTTTAACGCTGCTATAGCTGATCTTTAAATTACTTTTCCTAAAAATATTTTTAGTAATTATGAATGATTGAACATAAATTAAAAATATTCGTCCAATATTCGTTTGAACATTACGATTAAAACCATATATTATTCCTACAGTGTCTATGATTATTTTTACGTTTTTCTAAGTTTACTTTATGGTTGCAGAGTTCTAAAGATTTTATATACTTAATTTTATTTTAATTTTATTATTGTTATGAAGGAGAGTCCTCCCTGAGATAGACGTTTTCAGGTCAAAAGATGCTTGCTCGACGGGAAATCGCAGTGGCGTACTGCTTTTATAGCAGTAACTCATTTACATACAATACTGCATCTACCTGAACTGATCTTTGACTTATTCTTGGGAATCTGAACTGTCTTTTGTGCTGTGTATCTTGATTTACTCTTATAGGAGATCTAGGTCCGAATTTTCTATTCCAACTCTTCGTCATTGATTTCCTATTTCATTACTGAATTCATTAGTCCCCTCTTACCCTTCCTGTTCTTCAACTTCAGATTATTCGTCCATTTTCATATCCTCGGGTTATATTCTGTTTTTGAAATGCTACTCATAGGTCAGTACACTTTGTCCATTTTCCGGTAATATTGCTGTATTGAGTCATTTCTGTACTACAAATTCCGCCTTCTCTGGATTAGAATCTTTATCCTTTTTTATATTAAGCACTTTTACTTGTTGAAAATAGAATTAGCTCTAATCTGTCCACCTATTAATGCGGAGGGATTTTGTAGTCTGCCAGCATGCTTATTTTTCCTATAGCTTAACAGCAACCTTGGTAAGTAACTCTCTATATTATCATTATATAGGGAAAATGCTTTTAGTCTCATTTTTACAGCCTGCACCATTCTTTCTGTGGGTGGCAAAGTGGTGTTTTATAAGGGACGCATCCAATACGCTTTATGCACGAGCACATTTCCTCGTAAAATTCTGGCGCTTTTTATGAGACCAAAGACTGAGGTACCCCATTCCTTGAAAATATTGTTCTTATTATTTGTTTTATAGTGGTGGCTTTTCTGTCAGCAAACGTAATTACTTCGGGCCATTCTGAAAATAAGTCCACTAAAATTAAAAATATCCCCGTGCCTTTTATATCGGCATGATCCATGTGTACTCGAAAAGAGGGTTCTTTTTCTTCAGGTCACACAGGAATTTGATTTGCTGATTTTTTTTTTAGTTCAGCACATTTTGGACATTTTTACATAACCTTCTACATCTCCAGAATATCCAAGCCACCACGCTTGTAATTTTAAACTCATTTGTGTTGATGTTGTACCACAATGCACATCCTTGTGTACACATTTTAGTGCTTCTTCTCTTAAAATTTCTGGAGCTATTATAATATCTACATTACATATTATACCTTTCTTTACAGTTAAATTATATCTTGATTATTTGTAGTGTCTTTCTCTCATTGAACAAATCTTCCATGTGTTTCTTTTCATTCAATCTGAAATACTACTTAATACTGGGTATTGTATGATTTCCATTCTGAGATGATTAAAGGGTCACACGTCCGTTTGTGCAGTAAATTATCTCCTGAATTTTCAGATGTTTTTAGTATTTTGTTGTCTAAATTTAGTCTGGATAGCGCATTCTCGTGTGAAATAATAATGTTCCCCTTTACATATATGATGGCCAAATCAGATGCTATGACTTTTTAGTCCATTTTCAAATTCTAGAAGTTGTGACTTTTGGTACTTCCTTTTTAGGGTTAAATATTTCAGGTCTGTTATGGGATCTTATAATACTAATGGACTATTCCATACTTAATAAATACTGCGCCTCAGGAGTAGGCAAGAAGTCAGTTAGTAGCTCAAGTTGAGTCAGTAGTTCAAGTCGAGTTAGTAGTTCAAGTGAATCAGTAGTTCAAGTGAGTCAGTAGTTCAAGTCGAGTCAAGAGTCGAGTCAGAGGCAGTCCGAAACAGAGTCGCGTTCAGACATTTACTGCAAGACATTGGAATAGTGATACTGGTCGAGACGACATTGTTCTCTCTACTAAACCTGATTGTTCATACTAACACTTCTACTTCTCTGTATATATTCCTGTTTGTAATATATCTGTGTTATTCCATACCTGTGTTCGAGTTCATCTTTATTGGTTCTACCTTGGACTATGACTGTGGTACAAGGAACCGGACCTTAACAAGGTCATTCTTGGCAAAATATTTCATTCCTGCTAACTTGCTGTTAGTTAAAGAGAAATGAATCTGAGCATATCTGATGATTCACACATACTTTGTAATCCCTACATATCCTTAAATCGCTATTGGGCTTTTGTATCAAAACAATTGTTGAAGTCCAACTGCTACCACCTTGGGTAACTTTTTCCAATATGCTTTGTTCAACAATTTTCTTTAGTTTTGCCACTACTATGGGTAGAATGCGAATAGGTATTTTTTGAGATCCAAAATAGATCGGGTGACTATTTTCTTTTACACAAATACTCGCTCTATATCCTTTCAGTAGTCCTATGTCAGCTTCTTCTGACTTTATACAGTTTAATTATTTCACTATATCCACTTTTAAAATGTCTATTCCCAGGAGCCCATGATTTTTGTGCATTCTAAAACAGTGATAGGAATAATCTCAAAACGGTTTTTTGCCTTGAAAGTTCCTTCAAAGGAGCCTAGAGTTTTGATGACAGAGTCATCAAATTGTTTTAAATTAAGATTACTTTTTCTTAATTTGGATTTACCCATTTTTCCCCAGAAATTCCTTGGGATCAAGTTAACATCGCTCCTGTTGTCATCTTGCATGGGAAAAGTTATGTCATTCAATTTTACAGTCTCTCTATTTTTTTTGAAGGTATTCTTATTGAATATACTTCTGTATTTTCAGTATGAGGGTTAATACTTTCTACCCTTTCTATTCTCTTTTTGTATCTGCACACACATTGGAAATGGTCTTTTCTTTTACAGTTTAAACTGTTTTCCTAGGGCTGGAGATTGTTTTTGTTTTTTTCCGTATTCTTTTTTGAAATATTTGCACATAATTAGGATTTTAGTTGTTGTATGCTTACACGTTGTTTTTAGAATTATTAAATTCATTAATTAATTCACGTTCATCTTACTTAATACAATTTATTAATTTTTAAATTCCCAATATGTTGATGATTCTTTCAATCTGTAAATATCGCATTAAGGTTTCATTCGGGTTTTGTCTATTTTCCAGAAATGTTGTTCTTACTGCAATAACGTTTTTTTTTATAATGGCTGAAATTTCCTCATATGCCAAGCCTTCCAGTATTTTGGCGTACACCATAATGGATAATTTCTTTATAGCTTCACATCCTGCCAAAGCCAAAAATAAATCAATAATTTCATTCTTCCCTTCTGAGGCTTTCTTGTCTTTCAGTTTCTTTACCCTATCCAATGCTACAAAATATCTAATCCAAGTTTCTACGTGCTCCAGTTCATCTAACGCGGTTAGGGATCCTATCGGCAACGCTATATTTTTATGAAGTAGTGTACCAACAGATGGTAGCTCGATTTGCATTTGCTGTGGCGTTCTACTCTTATAGCAGTACATCATTTAATACAATTATTATCAAGCGTTTCCTTATTGTTAGAATTAGTAGATAATCTAACTTGAAATTATTTATGTAAATTTTCTAGAATCTAGGAAGGTTGAATTCTTTACAAACAAATCTGTGGTTACACAGATCTTTGGTATATAGTTTGTAATAACCAGTATTCAAGTCAAGGTTCACACAGAGAAAGTTGATCACATTGTGGATTCTGGTAATATTTAGCTTGTGATCTTTGAAGAATTTTATCAGTTCCTTTTTCAACAGAGTTCAGTCTCCTTTATGTAAAATAAATAAATAGATCCCAATGCAGAATCAAATACCCCCATAGCAATGTTAAATTCTGTGTTATTTCTTTTGTTCCGCAGATAAAGATTATGGAATAATATATGCCTAATTTAAGATTTTGATTTCGCGATCGCCAATAAAACAGTAACTTTTTTCTGTTTTTACTAATTTTACGGATGTTATTTTTAGTTGGATTGATTAATCGGTATTGTGGGGTACTTTGTGATGTCAGCGAACACTTGTTGTCGCTTTTGTATTATCAACGACTACTCATTGTAGTAGAAACTTTGTAATTGGAGATACAACTATAGAAATGCCGTTGAACAATGCTGGTGTCAAACGCCTTCGAATAACACTCGCACTAATAGTACTTGCTTGATAATACTCACTCGAATCGTATCCGAATAGTGATCCGAATAGTAACCCGTATAGTGATCAGTATAGAGAAATAGTATAGTGAATAGAGAACAGCAGTCTATATAGTATAGAGGATAGGATAGAAATGGTGATCCGTATAATCATACAGTATAGAATAGAAGTGGCGATCAATTAGACGACACGTTAATTTGCGTATATACATTTCCTTTGCTATCACGTGATCTACTTATTCAAAATGGGTACACGTGTGTTTGATCTCTGGTGGTGTGTGTTCAAACTCTATTCCTATATAACAGGTTGTTTAGGAAAAATTCTGTCACTAGCTGTGTTATATTACATCGAGCACTGTTTTATTAACACCAGCACTATATATATATATATATATATATATATATATATATATATATATATATATATATATATATATTATTTTAAGACATTTTTTTATGTTTATACCTTCTTTTTATAGATATAAATATTATATATAATATGCTCTATTTATAATAAATGCTCTATTTATAATAAACAATATTAACAACATTTACCGGCTTGAATGTCCGAGAAATTTTCATAGAAAATATTCGTCCTCCGACAGGAATCGAAAAACGGTAAAATAGACCTTGCTAACCGAAACGCTCCTCTGTGGCTAAATCGGTAAAAGCACGTCAGGCTATATGACGGTTCCGTATAGGATACAGGTTCTATTTCTGTCGGAGGACGCATATTTTCTTTGAAAATTTCTCCGGCATTCAGTCCGGTAAATGTTGGTAATACTATTTATTATAAACAAACATTTACTTAAATATTTTTATCAATAAAAAGAATGTATGAACATAAAAAAATGTCTTAAAATAATTGTCGGACTTTGTCCATTTAATAATGTGTCACGTCATATATATATATATATATATATATATATATATATATATACAGACCAAGAGATAGAAATTACATATGTAGGAAAGTAAAAGTCGTATAGGCAGAGAGAAAGACCAATAAACTCAGTTGTTTAGAGGAGAGGAAATGAGGGAGAAGAGATGGAAAGCTAACTCACTCACGACTGTGATTGTCGGTAGAAAACAAACTTTGATTGTTCAATAATACTTGATTGCTTCCTGCAGCCATGGTCAATTCGACCAAGACTGTTGAGGCCGGCCGTAATAACTAAAGAATATTGCTGTGGTGTTGTTTTGCGCCAATATCGCTGGTTGGCTTCTGCCGAGAGTGACGGACTATTGTTAGAAATAGAAGTGACTGCAAAACTCGAGATCCTGAAGTGAAACGAGAGGAAAACCATGAATGGAAAAGAAATTAACATTGGAAAATTGACAAATGAGAAAGAGGAATGTAGGCTGAATTGGAACGCGTTTTTAAGATTAAAAAATCTTTTTTCTTTAGAGAAAAACGTGTCAATCATGGTAAAGAAGAAAATAAAATGGAAAGGGGAAAAATAGGATTTAAGACACTAAAGGAATCAGAGAAATTGTTATACATTAATAATTCAGAGCGACATTTATTAAGCGGACAGTTTTGAGGATTTATACAGTTACATATATTTTCTGTATTTTCCTGTCTTTTTATTATACTCTCAGAATTTAAAAAAAAAATTCTAAGTGGTTATACAATATATTACCATAATAATCATTTCTTAGTTTTCAGTACAACTGTAGCTTAATTTTAGGGTATTTTTATTAAATATAAGTATTTATATTTTATTAAAAATTTTAAGTTAACTGTCTCTATGGAAATGTTTAACTATTAATGCAAGGAATTTTTTACCTAATTTATTTTTTACCATTTGCTTGTAGGGAGTGTATACCAAATGATTTTTTTAATTATGTTTTTTTCTATGGTTTCCATTTTCATTTTGTATATAATTTAGTTTTGGGCTTTTGTAGACACTATCTATTAGAGATTTATTATAGAAATTAATATGTTCATAGAAAGTCTTCTCATTTGCTGAATCTGTACTTCGATTTTTCGATAGATACAAGTATATGCTTAATTATAGATCGAGGATGATTAGATTTAAGGTGTATATATAAAGGGTTAGTATTGGGCTTGCAATATATTATTCATTCAATCTGAAGTTATATCAAGGAAGTTAACATTTTCTAATTTAGTACTTACAGTAATTTTCAAGTTCAGGCATTCAAATTCCCTGTATCATAGTTTTCTAATTTTTTCAATTTTAAATTTATATATATATATATATATATATATATATATATATATATATATATAATGATTTCATTTACATACATATATATAATTCTATTTCATTTTTATATATATATATATATATATATATATATATATATATATATATATGAAAGAAAAATACAGAAAAAACAAAATTCTGAATATGCATTATTAATGTTAAAATAAAGTCGACGTCGGACGTTTCGGTCTATTTAAGACCATCTTCATGGACATTTTCATTTAAACATAATTAACATTATAACTTATAACAATTTAACACAAAAGACGATGGACATAAGAGCCCAACTAATTCAGACAGATAACTGAAATTTTATACATATAGACCGAAATTTTATACATATAGACCGAAACGCCCGACGTCGACTTTATTTTAACATTAATAATGCATATTCAGAATTTTGTTTTTTTCTGTATTTTTCTTTCATACTGTCGGATTTATATCCATATATTTGCTTATATATATATATATATATAATTTGATTTAATTTCATTCTATATTTCAATTTGAAGTTTTTAGCTTCTGTTTTTGAAACATGGTAATTCCTGTGTAAATTTATAATATTTATGCTCTATAGATTTGCACTGGGCACTGTTTTGTAAAAATAAAAATATTATTAAGAACACCGGATTATATATGTTATTCTTCTTTCTCTTTATCATATATATATATATATATATATATATATATAGATAGATAGATAGATAGATAGATAGAAATGAACAAACTGTGCTAAATAGATAGCCATATATATAGATATAGGGAGAGAGATAGATATAGTAAGATAGACTGAAATGAACATAGATAGATAGATAGATAGATAGATAGATAGATAGATAGATAGAAATGAACAAACTGTGCTAAATAGATAGCCATATATATAGATATAGGGAGAGAGATAGATATAGTAAGATAGACTGAAATGAACATAGATAGATAGATAGGAATGAATAGACTGAGATGCACAGATAGATAAAAATTTGCGATGTTTCCAGAGAAAGGTTGCTCACTATTGGAGATAGCATAGTGGGGGCGTATAGCTACGGACTGTGACTTCCAGTTTCACGCTTGAACATCACGCTGAGACGTGAAGCTGTCAGTCACCATTCAGTTATATTTCAAATGTACACACAGATAAACTACTCACTCTCTCTTTCTCTCTACGTACGCTGTTTTCAATCTTCTTGCCTGAATCATCTTCAAGAAGCGAGAGCAAGATCTAAAAGTCAGCCAATCTAATAGTGATCTCATCTCCCTATCCTCACTCTTGCTCCATATTTCGCCACCTTTGTAAATCCCTAACGGGTCTTAAGTGCCAATTACGATTATCGCATAAAATTTCATAATGGAATCAATTAAGCTGCCAGATTCTCATACGTCGAAACCGACGGGAGAGTCCATTATTATTATTTTTATTGTTATTATATATATAATTAATTAATAAAAATAATATATATTTAATATAATTAATAAATAATATATAATTAATATACCAAAAAAAAATAATAATTAATAAACAATATAATATATATAATTAATAAAAAATATAATCTAAACTCACCTCGTGAAGGAATAGGCTATTTCGGCAGATGAAAATATCGGTTGTTTGTCTTATCAACCCCGGTGTGGACTGACTGTGTGTCAGAAATAGAAAAAAAAAAAAAACAGTCGAAAAACTACAACAGAATTTATCCATTTCAATGTTTCAGTCAGACGGAAAGCGCGAGCCAGGGGAACAGTGGAAGATATTTGTCTTCGGACGAGAACCGGTAGTTCCACGTGACATGGCTGTATGTTTCACTGCCATTAAGGAGATGGATTCATGTCTTTCCCAAGCGCAATATTGAGAAGTGGACGCAAATGTCTCGTCCCGTTGGTTGGCTGGCTGATATCATTTTGCGCCGAAATTATATCTCTTTGGGATATCGATATTTCACAAACAGTTAGAAAGAAATGTTCGCTTTTATTTTTTTTAAATAAATCCTTGAATTCAAATATAGAATGTCGTTAATTAATGCCACATCTGTTTTTTGTCAGTCCTTAATTTATTTGCAACACAATGAAACGCGTTTTACTTTTTCATATTGCTAAGAACATTGAAAAGTTTTGTATATCCATAACCTTCTTTGCAGGCCATCAGCTATCTTCATTTAGATCTTCTTATGAAGCTCAGCTATTGTCGCCAAGGTTACAGAATGAATGAGTTATTATGGTAAGCAGTACTCATCTTACTGTCTTCTTTGTCACTTTTTAGAACGTTATTGAAATCAGGTCAATACTAGTTCATTTTCCTAAGCTGATCGTATTAAATGTCAAATCAAGAAAAAAGCATTACAATTGCCATAGTGCAATAATATTTAATAATTTCCATAAGAAGTTGGCGGGGGATAATTTTGGACTGCACTAGTTTTTTGAAAAAATTGTGACTATGAATATAATAGAACGAAACGTCTAAAAATGAATTATTCGAAACTGAACACGGAATAAATTATTTATGGCAAATTCAGTAAGTATTTTCAAATATTCGCATTTCCTTAGAAAATATGTCATATAAGTGTGGGCGAATAATTCTGTCCACACACACACACACACACACACATGCACACACACACTCACATATATGTACATATATTAATAATATTAGTGGTTAATATACATATATATATATATATATATATATATATATATATAAAATATATATAAATATATTTATATATATACATACAAAATATATATATATATATATATATATATATATATATATATATATATATATATATATATATATATATATATATATATACATATATATTTCCAAGAGGATAGAATACAGGTGGAATTCAATGCCCAGGACAGAGTAAGAATATAATAAAAAGGCTTAAACATTAATATTCACGGTTATAATTTATTAGATTGGAATCGTAATTGCGATCCAATTCATCAGACCTATACAAAAATTATGATATAAACATGTTATAACATCACTACAAAACTAGCCATTCTGTTTCAACACTTCTGACCCGTAATCAAATGATGGTGTCGAATGTAGAATAAAGGCAGACTCTTTATTATACATTCAACACCATCTTTCCATAATTCTGTCTTTTAAAATTTTATTTATTCCACTTGAAATTCATTAATATATTTGACTTCCAATGAAATGCTCGATTATGAAATGAAAATATTAAAGTATAATCATGCATTTTAAAATGTAATGTTCTAAAGTTTAATCCTAACGCCTTTCAGTTAAGATTTGTGGCATATGATTGGGTAGCAGAAATATACTAATCCTTCTAGACGAAACTAGATCAATAATCTCCATCAGGGCACGTACTAATTAACTGAAAAATTGGCAGATGTAAAGGCTTGGATCAAAAGTGCAATCTTCGTGATTAATATTCAGAGCTTAATTAAGTGCATAATCTTTGACAAGAGAGGGGATTAATTTTCATATTAAATATTTGTTTACAGTATTTACATTGTTTGGACTTCTGTCCTCATCTTTGTTGGTATATACCGCAAGGATACATGGCCCATGGGTAAAAGCGTTGATAATCCAGTGATTTGATCCAAAGAGTTGTGGGTTCAATACCAAGCCACAGCGAACAAATAACTTGGAGAGTTAAGTTAAACTTGAAGAGGCATGGCACGTGGAACTACAACAATCTATCCCAGTGAAATTAAAAACGAAATAAATGGTTCGGTTCGAAATTCTAATCACCTGAAGAAGGCCGGAGCATACAGCGGTTGAAACGTGATGGATATACAACATAAGTATTTAAATGTTCCTAGCATTAAAAGGATGTAAAACGAGTTTCATTGTGTTGCGAAGAAATTTAGGTCTGACAGAAAACAGTTAATTTCTAAGACAATGGAATGGAAAATTATTAGAGATTTCCCGAAATCTCCTCCCCTAAAGACAACAGACATTGTCAACGATGCAAAGACATCGGGGTTGAATGTATAGACGAAGGCAGTCACTAGATGTTTTAATCGAGCAGGACTTCGAGCGTGTCTCCTACGGAAAACTTCCTTGCTTAAAGCTAAACACATAAACTGTAGACTACCTTATATGCTAGAAGCCATTTTGAACATGGTAGTAAATAATTTATGGTTAGATGAAATCTAACTTGAATTATTTGGTCAATAAACTCCCATTATGTCTGAAGGAAAGTGAATGAAACTCACAAACCAAAACATACCCTCCCTACAAAGAGGCGCGGTGGTGGGAGCATTCTGCTTTGGGGATGCACAAAATCTGTTTTTAGTGAGACACTGGACGTTCCAAAATGGCAATGACACGAAACATACGGTACGAATTATTACAAAATACTTAGATTACAGAAGGTTTAAGTTATTATCGTACTCTTTGAAAATAGGCATATTAAAAGAAGAAAGTAAGAGAAAAACGTCCGTAGGTTTTGGAGGAACTAGAATCTATTGGCAAAGAAGAAGGGATCAAAATACATATCAGTATCTTTAGTAATCTTGTAAGGAAATGTCAAAAACATTTAAAGGCAATAATCAAGAATAAAGGTATTGAGTCACGAGGGCCAATAATTTGTCCCGTGTTTTTCTTTTGGTGAATTTTTGTATTATCTATCATTAAAACAAAAACAAATTTGCTGTGGACATCACTACAGATTCTTTCAAATCCATTATTTTAATAATCTGTGGAAAAATGCTCATGAAGTTTACATAAAAAAATTGAGATATGATTGATTTATTTGTAATTAGAAAAAAGTGTCGGTGAATAATTACGTCCAGAACTCTCTCTATAAGACATTTTTTATGTTCATACGTTCATTTTGCAGATACAAATATTTAAGTAAATGCTCCGTTTATAAGAAACAGAAACTTACCGGCCTGAATGCCGAGATATTTTCATAGAAAATATGCGGCCGCCGACAGAAATCGAACCTGTATCCTATACGGAACCGTCATATAGCCTAACATGTTTTTACCGATTGAGCCACAGAGCATCGTTTCAATGTGCAAAGTCGATTTTATAGTTTTTAAACTTACAATTCTCCATGATTTTCTCTCGTACGTTAATATCTGCTCGATGCGTATCCAAATGTAATTACTTATAAACAGAGAATTTACTTAAATATTTGTATCTATAAAAAGAACGTATAAACATGAAAAAGGTCTTAAAAATTGTCGGACTTTTACATTTAATAATATAATATATATATATATATATATATATATATATATATATATATATATATATATATATATATATATCTGCCTCTTCCGATGACGAAATACTTAACCGAATATCAAAGACAACCAATGCGTTTAGGAAGCTTAAGCATCGCCTATGGGATGTTCATGGAATTTCACTGAAAACGAAAACAAGAGCCCTATTGAGAATTAATTCATACCACACTTCTTTATGGGTCAGAATCGTGGCCGCCATACAGGACGCACATCAATCAACTTGATGCTTTTCAGAAACGCTGTCTTCGTTCAAAATGCGGTTATATACGGCAGGACAAAATTTCTCACCCTGATCTTTTCATCAAATGTGGTGTGTGGTATTGAATTCTTTCTGATGCAGTCACAGTTCAGATGGACTGGCCCTTTCATCAGAATGAGTGATGATCGGATGCCAAAAATCCTCATGTATACCCAACTTTTTCATGGTAAGCGTAACGTAGTCCGTCCTTGGTTACGCTTCAAGGAGAAACTTAAATACATTTTAATTGCTGCAAACATCCATATAGAGGAGTTCTAACGTGCTATTGAAAACCGAGAAAACTGGAGAAATACCTGCTACCGAGGTATAACTAATTTTGAAAAGAATCATCTCAAACATCAGAGAGAATTAAGAATTGACACTAAATCCCAGGTTAATACATCAGCCCATATGATGGTCAAACCTTCTCAGTATGCCCTTCGGGTGCAATTGTTTAAAATCCAGTGCAGGATTGTTGTCTCATACGAAACATAAACATAAACTGAACTAAAAGACACACATACGTCGAAAACGGAAGAGTCCTTCATATATATATATATA